AACCCTGCAAATCGCAAAGAAAAAGAAGAACTCGAAACCAAGTGAAGCCGCAAAAACCAAAGAAAGAAAAAGAAAAAGAAAAAGAAAGACCTAGAATCAATAAAGACCTAGAGATAGGCTAACCAGTCCCCGGCAACGGCGCCAAAAACTTGATACGTGTGTATCGAGTCTAAAATTTATACCCGATTCACAACTCACCGCAAGGATACGGATCGTCGTAACACGGGGTCGAACACAAGGACCGGTTGCTAAATCTAAACCCTAATCGAAACTAAATCGAAGCAAGCAAGTAGAAGTGATGGTGGAAGTATATGGAAATAATAGGAAATAAGGAAATAAAGCAATGAAAACGAGTAAGCTAGCAATCTAAGTTGACCGTGGGTGTCGGGACCGTATTCGCGTGTATGGGTATATGCTAAGCATGCGAGAATCACGATATTGAATCTGTATTCGGGAATCGTCAAGCAACAAAGATAGAGAAATCACCTCCCGGCATATAACTCACTATCTAAAGTTCTCTAAATCCATATCCCTATGTGATTTATCAAACTAGATGCATGAAGAACACTATCATCAATGCTAGATCGATCAAACCATATTCCTATGTGAATAATACGATCTATTCTATCGATTTCGATCCGAAACTAAACCCATATTCCTATGTAGTTCAGAATCTGTAATAATTGGCCAAGGGGTCAGCAAACACCAATCGAATAAAGCACAAATCGATAAAACCGAAACAAATCCAAATCGCAACCAAGTTAGGGTTCAAACATACCCAAAACACAAACGAATCCCTAACCCACATCCGTGGATCTACTCACGGTTCATGGAAAAACACTGAGCAAAACCAGAAACAGAAAGAAAAGAGGGAGAAGAAAGACTCATGTCGACAGCAAGCGATCTTCACGTTCCAACTCTCCTTCTTCTTCCCGAAATCCCGTAAAACTCTTGTTTCTCTCACCAAAGCTCTCCAAAGTCTGTATAAAGTCTGTCTCCCCCTCTAGGACGTCTGTAGGCTCCTTTTATAAACCCTAGGCGGCGCTCCCGAAGTCCTATTCCCGTTCCAACTCTGAAAATACGAATCTGGGCTTTTTCTGGGTTTTGACTCGGACCGAGTCAGTACTCTGACTCGACCGAGTCAAGACGAGACATAAGGAATTCGGCCCAGCCCAATCTTCTGACTCGGGCATGTTGACTCGGGGTATCTGACTCGGACATGTTGACTCGGGGTAACTGACTCGGACCGAGTCAAGGCGGGAAATTCTTGACTCTTTCATCGTTTTAGCTCCAGATTGCTCCCGTCTTGCTCCAAATCGCATCCGAGACCTGTAATCCTATAAAAACACAACCAAACCGAGTTTCGTGGCCTAACACGCCTATAATGCCTACAAATGCATGTGATCTCCGTATAAATCCTATAAAAACGCCCTGGAGATGTAGAGAGAAATATGAGTTATCAGTAAGCTCATTTCTCTTACACCTTTCAATTATTGATTTGGTCACATTGGTCATATTGGTCACATTGGTCACACTGGTCATGTTGGTCACATTGTTCACACTGGTCACGTTGGGTACGTTGGTCACATTGGTCACACTGGTCACGTTGGTCTTCTTACTGAGATCTGACGTTATTTTGTAGCACTTTGATGAAGCTATACTAGAAATCATGAATCGTCTGACCAAAGAACGTTGTCCAACAACAATGAATTACATGATTGGCGACACAAGTTTCGGTGAATTCCTCAAATGGTGGGGCCATGGAATTATGACCGATTTGAACGGGCTTGAGGATTACTTTGACGAAAAAGCACTGGTAGGGTGTGGGGAGCGCAAGATGGGAAGTTACAAAGGATTTATCACTCCCCTCAGCATACCTTCATTGGTCAATCCTGATGTAAGTGTGCATTGGGTGGTCATTAGAGCAATTCCTATGAAGAAGCTGATTCATGTATTTGACTGCAACCTGAAAATGAGGTCGAACATTGACGCGATTATTGGCCGGTTGTTGTGGCTCCCGAAGATATATACGGTCGCCAAGATATACCAATTTGAAGAAAATACCACATTTGACTACCATTACGTCGAAGGGCTACCTCAAAATGGTAACGGAGATGATTGCGGTGTGTTTACCATCATGTACCTAGAAGCCCTGATGCGAGGTCAAGAAAGAACGTTGTGCAATCAAATTTGCAATGAAAATAGTTCATCGATTCGTGAGAAGATTGTCGCGGATATCTTCTCAAATGGCGAGATTGTGAATCTTGCCCCCGATGTACGACGTGACGATTCCTCCCCAGATGCAAGATAAATTATGATATTCTTGTATTTTGTTTGAACCTTTGAACATTTGACTTTATTTTTTGTGTTAACTATTTTCTGAATGTTTAACTATTTTAAATTTATGGCGAAAAAGTTTAAATTTTCAGAATTGCATATTGGCCAAAAGTTTAGGAATTGGGGTGGCGAGATTTTTACATTTTTTTTTAAAAAAAGAAATCTCAAAAAATGTAATTGCTTTTCTACATAATCATATTCGTGGGTCCGCTTTAAATGGTAACGGTACACATCTCCCCATAAACCTAATTCGTACTTCATAACCTCAAACCAGAAATTCAAGTCCCCAAACCAGACATTCAAGTCCCTAGACAAGAAACCCTAAATATAAACCGAAAATCTAACCCCCTAAACTGGATTTTTAACACATCTCGATGGTCATACTGGTCACACTAATCGAATTTCACGCATTCAATGCTTTGAGAGTGTAATCTACGATCATAGAAATGATTCGGAGAAGGAATCGGGGTTAAAGTCGTTGAACATTATTCGATCGAAAGCTATGGGCATAAAACGAATCTCATAAGTGTTACTAGTGTTTTAGGAACATTTTGGATCAATGTAACTTCGTGTTCGTAATTTTTTTTTCAAACTGCTTACAAAACGTTCGTTTGAAGTGTAATTACATCGTTTTATAGCGCAACAACCTTATTTAACCACCCGACAGTTGAATTGGTTCACTTTTATCACATCTCGATGGTCACACTAGTCACACTGGTCCTACTGATCGAATTGCACGAATTCAACGCTTAGAGAGTGTTATCTACGATCATAGAAATGGTTAAGAGGAGGAATCGTGGTTCAAAGTCGTTGAGCATTATTCGATCGAAAGTTATGAACACAAAACGAATTCCATAAGTGTCAATAGTGTTTTAGGAACACTTTAGATCAATGTAACTTTGTGTTCATAATGTTTTTGTTCAAACCGCTTACGAAACGTTCGTTTGAAGTGTAATTACATCGTTTTACAGCGCAACAACCTTATTTAACCCCCGACAGTTGAATTGGTTCACTTTTATCACATCCCGATGGTCCCACTGGTCGAATTTCACGAATTCAACGCTTTGAGAGTATAATCTACGATCATAGAAATGGTTACGAGAAGGAATCGGGGTTGAAAGTCATTGAACATTATTTGATCGAAAGCTATGAACTTAAAACGAATCCCATAAGTGTTAATAATGTTTTAGGAACACTTTGGATCAATGTAACTTTGTGTTTGTAATTTATTTTGTTCAAACCGCTTACGGAACGTTCGTTTGAAGTGTAATTACATCGTTTTATAGCACAACAACCTTATTTAACCCCCCAACAGTTGGATTGGTTCATTTTATCACATCCCGATGGTCACACTCGTCTACTGGTCACGCTAATCGAATTTCACGAATTCAACGCTTTGACAGTGTAATCTACGGTCATAGAAATGGTTAGGAAAAGGAAGAGTGAATTGAACTTTGAATAAAAATTACATTGTTCAAGAGGAATAAAAGTTACATTTAATGCAGACTAAGTACGTGAATAATTCCAAATTTATTCTCTTTGACGAATCTAATTGAAAATGACGATGTTAAACTTTGGGATCTTTTACGAGTCTCGCTAGGTCCAGGAAAGCGATTTTGTTTAGGTCTTCTGGTCCGCCGTTTTTCTTCCATTATAGGTGGCAACACTGAAAAATTTAAAATTTTGGGCGGGAGGACCTAATCACAAATATCGGGCACCGGATACACAGTCTCTTGGTAAGCCTTGACCCAAGTCTCTCCCCAGTAGTATTCAGAGCATAATTCGTGAATCGCACTACCTTTTCTGATCTTATGTGCTGCTGCAATTGCATGACTACATGGATACCTATCCTCATCAAACTTTTTGCAACTACAGGTTCTATCACCAAGATTTACCAAGTGTCTTCTACCTTTTTCATCCCTTGTCTCAAACATACCACTCAACCTGTTAAGTTCAATAACCTCATACGTACAGGCCTTCTCGAACCGTTCATGCAGTACTTTGTACACATACGGAGTTAACTTTTGAGAATCATTCAGCACTACATGTTTCTGCCGGTACCTAATGAACCATTCTACCGTCTTCGCGACACAAATATCAAGCAGACTGAGTAGCGGATACCTTTTGGCCTTCTTCAAAATGGAGTTGATTGATTCGACACCATTGGTGGTTAATAAGTTGTATCTTTGAGTCCGAAATTTACACCTCACCCACTTCTCCGAAGCAAGTTCTTCCTTTTGCATGTACTCCGCTACTTTGGGATATCTGCAAATCAGGAGATATTCACATCAGTTTACTATGTCACGATGGACGGTACACTGGTCACACCGTTGAGAAAATCACACTGGTCACACAAGTCATACCTGTAATTGAAATCAGAGTAAAATTCTTCAAACTCCTTCTCCCTGTGAGCCGATGTACATTTAAAAAACAATTTAGCCACGGTTTCACCTCTTGAACCTTTTCTTCCGGCTCTCCTATTAACATGTGCTTTCAAGTTTTGTGATATGTGTCTTGCACAAAAACCATGATCAGCTTGTTTATATACTTCTCTCACAACTTTCATTATATTTTTATGCCTATCGGATATCACAACCACATCAGGTCCATCTGGTATTACTTCGCTCTCTATCGATCACACCCCATGCTAAAGGATATTGGTGATATTCTCCATCCTGCGCGGTTGCAACGATCAATGCTCCCTTGTATTCGCTTGTCAAAAATGTCGCATCAACAGCAACAACTTTATGCATATACTTCCATCCTTTTATAGTTGCACTTAACGCGACAAATAGGTATTTGAAGCTTTTCCGATCATTGGCCAACTCAAGACGCACAATGGATCCAGGATTTCTTTCTCTCAGCATGTACATCCACCCAGGAAGTCTCATGTAATGATCGGCATGATTACCGCAAATCTCTTTTTCAGCACTGTGTTTCCCTCTCAGTGCCATCAAATACGAAATAGTTGCCCCGCACTTGGTTCGTGGTACTAATTCTTAGGGGTGTCAAAACGAGCCCGGCTCGCGAGCTGGCTCGTGGCTCGCCAGAAAACGAGCGATCTGAGCCGTAATTTTTTCAGATCGTTAAAAAACGAGCCTAACGACGTGTTCAATGAGCTCTGGCTCGGCGAGCTGGCGAGCTGCTCAACGAGCTGGTATTTTTTTTAAAATAAATTAAATTTATATAAAAAAAACTCTAATATAATTTTATATTAATTTTTTTCATATTATTTATATGATATTATATATATACTAATTATTATGATGGTGATAATTGAAAATATTAAATGATATTGATGTTTTAATAAATTTTTATGTATTTATTTAAATTTATAATTATATTTAAAATAAATATAAATAAAAAATATTATATATCCTTGGCTCAACGAGCCGGCTCGTTCAGATCGGAAAATTGGCGAGCGATCTGAGCCGAGGTTTTTCTGGCTCGTTAGAAAACGAGCCTAACGAGCTGAACCCAAAACGATCCGAGCCAAATGAGCCGAGCCCAAAACGATCCGAGCTGGCTCGTTTGACACCCCTACTAATTCTGGGGCAGTAGGAGTTTTGAGGGTTCCAACATATTCTTCCTTCAAATAACCTTTAACCAAATTCGATGTACCCTTCATAGCTTGTTCTGATTCTGAAACAGGTCTGCATTTGTGAATTGGATTGTGTGCTTTTACGCTAAAACGATTCGAACTCGGGAGCGATGCGATGCACAATTTCCAATTACAACCTGATCCAGCAAACTTGCATCTTATTTCCCACAACTTCTTATCAGATTTCACTGTAACATAGTTGAAACAAGCCTTAACTGAACCCTTTCGTATATATTATTGTGCGTCTTGTTTATTATCAAACTCATACCCAATATCTATGTTCAATCCATCGCTAAATTCGAATACTGAAGTACAAAACAATGAGTCCTCCATAACTGCCATGGCCAAATCAACCTCACAATCACCCCTATGACCAGACTTGCTTCCACCTTGCATATTCGTTGCACACTCCACTATACCCATCTCATTTCCATCAAGTCCAGTTTCACGGTCCACCAAATCTGTACCAATATCATTTCGATCCACTCCAGTATCACATGGAATATCGTTTACAGAGTCCACTAAATATGTCGTATTTCCATTCACTTCAATTGTTGCTCCTGCTCCAATACATAAATTATTACTCCCACCTTTACTCTTGAAATTTGGACTCTGGATAACATCGCAATTCTTATAAGCTACACATGTTATAGTCTCATATGGTCTAACACAACTCGCGTAATTACAAATTCTCAACTCATTTTCTGACCTCGGCTTTTCTATCTCCACGTGAAGCATGTTTCTACCTCCATTCATTTTGTCCAGGAGATAAATTAAAACTTGTTTATCATTCGATATGTAAATCGGCTCAGTAACTCCTTTTAAAGCCGGCAAATAGCTCAGCTTCATGTCCGTTTTACTTTGGTCCACCTCCATTTCAGAATATAACTCTTCAACAAGACGTTTGTATTTCAATTCAGTTGGAGGACACATGAATATGACTCCCTTCCCATCCTAAACTTTTTCAACCCATTCATATTCGCTATTACCATTCAGCACCCACTTTCCATCAGACTTGAAATAAATAATTGTGATTTTCTCGTTGACTGCGTCATTATGTCTGTACATAATAAGATTCATAAGATACATGTGACTAGTGTGACCAGTGTGAATATTCTTCAATTAAACAGTGTGACCAGTGTGACCAGAGTGTTCAGTGTGACCAAAGTGACCAGTGGGACCAACGTGGTCAGTGTGACCAATGTGACCAGTGACCAGTGTGATCAAAGTGACCAGTGGAACCAACGCGATCAGTGTGACCGATGTGACTAATGTGACCAGTGACCAGGGGGACCAGTGACCAGTGGGACCAGTGACCAACTTGGATTAAAAAAGCGCGCCTGTTGTCCGCCTAAGACACAGAGGCACAGAGGAAATCGCATCAGGTTATAAAAATAAGGCGAATTACAGAAAGCGGCAAAGAAGCGCGCTTTATGACGTACGCAGCGTGAAGCGTGAAACGACGCTTTTTTGATTGAAGCAATTAAAGAGAATTAAAGAATGTTGAATAATATTAAAGTATGTGCTCGTGATCTGTAAAAAGCCCTGAAAAAAAGCTTTGGTCAATTGTCATAATTGATATTGACTAAAATTAATTGTTATACAATATATATATTATTGTAAATATACAAGTACATCTAGTGGGATCCACATTATCTAGTGGGACTCATATTATGTTCTTCTTATGAAGAAGCTGACCTTTCTTCACTATAAAGAAGCTGATATTTCTTCACTATAAAGAAGTTCCTTATATTCATCTATAAATAGGTGAGTGATGTAGTTCATTTGGAACATAAGAAATACGAAGAACTTTCTCTTTCTTCTCTCTATCATACTCTTTCTCTCTCTAGAGCATCTCTCTCTTGTTTTTCATCTTTCGTTTTCAACACGTTATCAGCACGAGACTCTGCCGATATAGAGGTATAAAAGAAAATATCATACAAAAGGTAATGTATGATCCTCTATCTTTATTTATCTTCAGTTTCATTTTATATAGACATTGGGAGGCTCAGCCACTGGTTAATAATATAAAACTAATCGCATACATTTATATTACATTCATATAAACTTCGCGGGTTCAGCCACCAGTCAATGATATGAATGTTTATAAATATTACTATTATTATCATAATAGTTGGCTATGCCACCTGTAAATATTATTATGAATATCTATAAGTATTGCTGCTATTATCATAATGGTTGGCTATGTTGTGACACCCGTAACGTGTGTACAGTATACGAGCTGTGCCACATTGACGATATGACAATAAAATATAAACCGCGGAAGCGAAAATACGAAATCCAAAAACATTTTTAATCAAACCAGAGTAAGCAGCGGAAAATACAAGCGATCAATATCGCAAAACAACACATGTCCGAATAGTCATAATACAACCATACAAAATGCGGAAATACAAGTCCCATAGTCCAAAAATACAAATCCCGTACATGATGCTGCCTCTCTCAGGTCGTCGTCGTCCAATTTGCTAGGCGTAATCCTCATGATCTGAAAAATATAAAACCACGAGGGCTAAACACAACCGCTTATTGAGTAGTCCGGGTTGAACCCGGAAATCCCGTTGTCATCGAGAACGGTACAGTCGACATTTCCATAAAACACATGCAATAAGCAAAACACAACAAACACGTAAATAGCAATCGCAATCACACCCGTATGGAGTCCACCATAGGGCTTAGCCGTATACCCTAGTCAAGTCGGCATGTCTAGGAGCGCGTCTACGCCCGTCACTCACGTGACGTTGGCCATCACATCTCATGCAATTATGCGCATCTCCTGCGCTTGTCACTCTCGTGACTACCGATGTCAAGTCCATGACATAACGGTTATCTCATCGCACCCGTATAGAGTCCACCATAGGGTTCAACTATATACCCTAGTCAAGTCCATGACTATGGGCGCATCCACGCCCGTCAAGTCCATGACATTGGCCGTCGTGTCACACACGACTAATACGCGTCTCAAATGCCCGTCAAGTCCATGACGGTAATGGTTGAGTCCACAACCATCCACAAACACAATCATGCTTAGCTCGTACGCACGAGCAAGCTACACACATGGCACACAACGTGCATATATCCCCATAGTACAATCATACGTATCACGGTATCCGGTCTCTACCGAACTACCGTTTAACGCCATGCAATTCTACCCGTAAACAATCACACAACGATCACTTGTATCCCAATATCGCACACCTCACCACGTCATGTAACGTCTTGGCAAAAAATCGGAACGATTGATCTCAATCGCAAAGCTTGGCCCTTTGATGGGGTTTGGTCTGCCCATGACCCCGTCTGATCGGGCCCGGAGCAACCCCTTTGGTCGTTTCCTTTTTTCCGGTCGAACGAATCAATTCTCTCGTTTTCTTCGAGCCTAGTCTGGCGGACCACGTTCTGGTCAGCCCTGGACCAATGCTCTTCTTCCTGGTCCGCTCCGTCTCTTGGTCAGTCGGTCCGTGAGAGAAAATTATATGACATGGGCATTTGATGCTATAATGCATCTGAAAACTAAAATGATTGTCAAAACAATCGAAAAAAGGCAGGCGACATCTGAAGCTGATAAGAAAAAAGCGATAATATTTATGTGATGTCATCTTGATGATGCATTAAAAGATGAATATCGAATGAAAGAGAATCCACGCAGATTTATGGAAATCACTCAAAGATCGTTTCGATCATCAGAAATATGTGATCCATCCAAGAGCCAAACATGATTGGCTGAATCTGAGATTTCAAGACTTTAAGTCTGTGCGAGAATATAATTCCGCAATGTTTGAGATAATATCTGTTATCGATGTGGTATGAACGATCATTGGTCACAAACCAGTCATACACAGAAACGCCTTGTTGAATTATATCAACAGTCACATAAAGACAAAGGGAGAAATATCCAGATAAATTTTGTATCTGATGTCCCTGATGATATCATCGATAAAGAAGGAGATGGAATACATTTGGATATCGCGATTTCCTTGATCAACCTGAAGATGGAAAAATGACCAACTGAAGAAAATCGATATGAAGTATATTATCATTTCTTTGTTATAAATGTTGCATTTTTTTTCAAGTATATTTTGTTTAAAAAGTTTGTTGTAGGTTTTTCTCTAGTTTTTATTGTACTCTGACGTTTAGTTTCTCTCTTATGTATTATTTCATCTTTATCTTTGTTTTTAGGAATATTTTTATCTTTCACATTGATCAATTTGACTTGAAATATGTCTAAATTCAAGATCAATGATGGGGATATATGTCTAGCCGTTAGTGCTACGACTATGGATGTCAAAACAACCCGAAGTCCGGCCCGAAACCCGCCCGAAAAATTAAGGATTTGGG